TTATCGATATAGTTAGATTCCACCTTCATGATTATGGATCTGTGAGTTAATTGTTTTCTAACACGACCCTATTATTTATATTAGGTCTTAACGTTTTTGCATAAATTATCAGACGGTGCATGAATGCGGTTTTGCGGTAAGTGAAATTCGAGTGCTTTATTTATGTGTTAATGATTTTAATCAGCTACGTAATGAATGTTAAGGCTTGGGTTAGCGTGTAGCGAGTGGTAGCTACATCGCTGCTAACGATGCTAATCGTAGCCTCCAAGTTAAAATAATAGACTGTATATATAAAGGTTAAAACGAAATAGACGTTAAGTGGGATAATACTGTTGAACAAACGGCTTCTGTTTGAGGTTGATAAAATAAGGTCATCCTTGTAACATAGAGAGTTATTCGGCTATTCCCCAGAGTTTGCCAAGCCCCCAGGAAGTGCGCCGGAGTCTGATGAGAATATTCGTGCTGGTCAAACGGCGGTACTACACTTCCTTTAGGTTGCTGGGCCCGGAAACACTTTTTCCCATTGACTTACATTGGGAAAGAGTGGTCTGTAACTCGTTGGATAATTTTTTTAAAACTAAATAAACTACCCAGTATGAACGTTTATGAAATGTATACTGTATAATAGTAACGTTATTGAAGATGATGCCATATTTATTGAAGATTTTACACTATAAATATTCACCAAAATTATTCAAAAGCACATTCTTCCAAACTCTCTGCTGTAGTATGAGCAACATGAGACTATTGATGTGTGTAGTGAGTTTGGTAGAAATATACTGTATAATAGTGAAGTGATTGAATATTATTGTATTCTCTTTTTTCGGAGTTGCACTTTGCAGACGGACTCATTTCTTCTCCGGCTGCAGATACAGACCAATGTAATGTCTCCAGTTTGGAGGACAGCACGTATTGGCTTTTTTTGATCAAAATGTGATTGTAGTTCGTTGTCAACCTTACCACGGTACTTAGGAGACGTAATTTGTGTCTGAACAACGTTTTGTTCATGAGTTATTGATCCGTGAAATCTGAATCTGCCAATATCGTTCCAACTTTACTCGACTTGTTGTCACTCAGTCATCAGTTTCTATAGACTATCTGGATTTAGTTATTGCGTAATAATGATTGTGTTCCCACAAATTACTAATGCGTGGGTACATAATAACTAATTCGTGGCCACGCATTATTAACTCGTGGCCACGCATTATTAACTCGTGGCCACGCATTATTAATACCTGGCCACGTATTCATATTTTTCTCACCAATGTCACCAGGGGTGCTCCGTAGCAGAGAGTTTCTTTGCAGCATTAAGTTGTTCTTCAGTCCTGGACATTATTGTCCAAAAAGCTCTATAACTAAAGATGGCACATTACAAACCAGGCCACACTTTCTGTCTCTAATTTGGCATAGCCTGATGTATTTCCTTATACATTAGATCAGGGGTGTCCGAACTATGGCCCGGGGGCCAAATGCGGCCCGCGGGCCATTTTTAATCGGCCCTCAGCAAATTCAAAAGGTATAATGGAATGCGGCCCACAAATGAAACTTGAGCTTGTCTTATATTGTACTTCTTAAATATATCTGTAAACATATGTTACACAGTAGTGTTCATGTGTTAATAAACCCACTTTCAGTCAATTCAAGTTGAAAATATGTTCTAACAAAAAAACGATAAGAAAAAAAGCCCAATAACTTATTTAAATAATAACCTTGAAATATACCCTTCCTATTTCCTCTTATGATAAGCAATCTAAGGCTTCTGTTTGAAGGAATGAGCTGCTAAGAAAATAAATGAAACCCTATGGAAAGCTGTGATGTAGGCTGTTGTATCAAGCACAATTTACTTACATTTGATTGATTTTGGTAACTTATAACTAGGGTTGGGTATCGTTTGAATTTCCACAATTCCGATTCCGATTCTACTTTTCGATTCCGGTTCTTAACGGTTCTCAATTCCGATTATTTGAGGGTTAGGGTAAAAAAATGATACATGCTTCTTCCACCAAAATAATTACATTTATTCGAGAAACTTTTACACAGGTTAGTTTACAGTAATATTCACATGAATCAGTCTGTTTATATTCACTGCTATGTAACTGTAACCTGAGAACCACTGAAACTACAACAGTCCAACTTTTAAAGAACAGTTCTTGTTGAGAAAAACAAGCATATCTGCCTTCTCAGGCATAGGGGAGAGTGGGGTAATTTGTGCCAAGGGGCAAGTATTGCCACCCCTGTTATCTAGAAAACCATAGAAGAAGTTGGTCATGTGACCACATATTTTTGAAGAGGCATCCATTTCAATCATCCTGCAAAGAAGGGAGACACATGGCTTGAGAGGTAAGCACATTTAAGTTAAAAAAACAATTTTTTGCCCTCCAAAGTAACATTTCTATGATCAAGGTTTTTTGATTGCTGTGTTTGAACAATTTAGACAACTTTGAAAACAGTTCACACATGTTTTAGTGCTTTAGTAAGCTACACCATGAGTCTATACAGTTAGCATGATGCTAGCTCAAAACAGCTGGGGGATGCATTTTTTTCAAAATGGTGGGCTTGGGGTGATTTGTGCCAAAGGGCCTGGGTTAAGTTGTGCCAGTGGCACAACTTACCCCAACTTATGATTATTTACTATATATTACTTTATTGTATGTTATTGTACATTGTATTCTTACATTTGATCACTAAAACTATGTGACATTCTTAATTTTAGACCAAAATCCATCATGCCACGCAAATACAAAAGGAAGACAGACAGGGTTTCAACTCCTCTTGAGGAGTTGGAAAGAGCAGTGAAAGAGGTGCAACAGGGGAAGACCATACGTCAGGTTGGAAAGGAGATGAAGATCTGCAGGATGACCATAAAAAGATATATGGATAAGAAAAAAATAGGAGAAGTAACAAAGCCAGGCTATGAAAGAACAGTAGTCGCCAAACGAGTCTTCAATGAGAACATGGAGAAAGAGCTGGCTGACCATATTAAGACACTAGCAGCAATGTTTCATGGCATAGGTGTCATGAAATGCCGTGAACTGGCTTTTGAGTTCGCACAAAGAAATAGCATTGACATTCCTGCCAGCTGGACCAGAGACGAAAAAGCAGGTTAGATCAAGTATAGGCTATTGGATAGCAGAGGTGGGACCAAGTCATTGTTTTGCAAGTCCGAGTCAAGTCTCAAGTCTTTGCGCTCAAGTCCAAGTCAAGTCTCAAGTCAGGATTGTAAGGGAAATTTCTGTGTAGCTATGCAGTGGGAGTCACCGACTCAGGAAGGAGACACGGTGGAGCAGGAGCTTTTGATGTCAAACACTGGAGGTTTATTTGGAGTTACGGCCGGAGGATTCACATCACAAGTCACGGTGAGACTGCACGGGTGGGTTGCCACGTCAATTCTGGAGAGCCTCTCCCTTGCCAGCCCATTTAACTGGTTCCACAGAGAGTCATCAACATGTTTTGATAAGATAGCTTTAGATAGTTTGGGCACACTAAGTTACCAGTTTCCGCCACTTATGGCCTTGGATATGTCATGCCCTGGAGTCCTCAAACAACAGAGAAGGAAGTGTCCCAGTGTACCCACAATACAGACCATCTGTGACCCAGTATTGACCGGTCACAGAATGGGAACAATAACATTATTGGCTGAAACAGCCTGTGTCCTTAAAGGAGGTAAACAGACGTCAAGGTTTGTCCTGTATGTCACATCTTGGCGTCTATGATAATTATTTCCCTAACAAGGATGGGAAAGTTCAAGTCAAGTCCAAGTCCTAAACTTTGACAAAACGAGTCTTAAACAAGTCATTATGTGCTTTTCACCAAATCTAATGACATCGATCAACAGAATAATACTTAATAATCAAACTGCTCTTTATTAGTCACATTCATAATTTAATAATCCATTTTCTCTCTGCTGGTAAAGTAACGTGTTTTTTTCTATTTGAAGAGGGATCAGTAAGGTAAGGCTACCGTGACGGTTTGATTCAGAAGGAGTTTAATGTATAAGATCCCTGATGTTGAGGTGACCAGAATGTTTATTTCCACTGTGTACAACATGTTGTAAGGGACCCACAATATATCTCTATGCAAGGGATAATGTGCAGCGAGGCAGTCTCTATGGGGAAGAGAACACCTGAATCTAGATCCCTCTGCAGATGGTACTTTAAGTATATTTTGATGCTAATACTTTTCTACTTTTACTTGTAACATTTTGAATGCAGGACTTTTTATTGTACAGGGTTCCTGCAGATTTCGCCAACTCAAATTTAAGACTTAACACCTTTTTAAGACCACTTTGAATAGAATTTAAGACCTATTTCACGGCAATAAAGTATGAAGGAAAATTGATATGAAAGAAGAAATACGTCCCATAATCACTTACAAAGTAAATGTATTCATGTTCAACATAAGAACAATGACTGAACACAACAGCATAACAGTACAGAACTGTGTTAGCGTGTTAGACAAAAAGTGTGTATGTGTCTGTGTGCTTGAGTGTGTGCGTGTGTGTGTGTGTGTGTGTGTGTGTGGGTGTGTTAGGGCTGTGCAATTAATCATATTTTAATCGCAATTACGATTTTGGCCTGCCACAATTACGAAAACAACATAATTGGAAAAAACGATTATTTTGCTTTGCTAGGTTGTGACAGTGCACCACAACATATTTGATCTAATGAATTTTTTAGTAATGTATCATTTATTTAATTAATTTTTGTATTGGTTTTTCAGTTGAATTATACGTTCAGGGTAATCAACAGTTAAAAAGATACTGTTCAAATTATTATTTGTTTTAAAGTTCAATAAATGGATGTTTTCAAAGTCAATGAATAATCGTATTTAATAATCATGATATTAATTATTGACCAACATAATCTTGATTATTGCCATAATCGAGCAGCCCTAGTGTGTGTGTGTGTGTGTGTGTGTGTGTGTGTGTGTGTGTGTGTGTGTGTGTGTGTGTGTGTGTGTGTGTGTGTGGCGCGGGCGGGCGGGCGGGCGGAGCAAGACACTTCAATATGGGAGAAGAAAAAAATGCAGCAATTCCAGACAACAATTCAGGAGTTGAGGGATGCAAACTTGGCCCTGAAAAATGAAAATGATCATTTGAAAGACCTCATAATAAAGCGTAAGTATTATTGTATTGCAATATTGGTTTAATACAATCGGATAGGACTTTTCTGTTTAGTAAATGTGCTGTCAATGGACCGTGTTACAACTTAGATGCAAATAGCATCCAAGTTGCTTGCAGCTATGGTGATCTGATGATTGTAATGGGTGTGATTTAATGTGTTCCCTTCTGTCACAACCTCACACTAGATATTCCTCAAATGAAGGAGGACATTGCCTCGCTTGCTGGAAGAGTAAGTTCCTCTTATTTGTATCACTTTATTTTACTTGTTACTTAATCAGAGGAGGAGATTTTTATGATGTTAGGTTGATTAGGGCAATTCACCTGCTGTTTGTATTTTTAATTGTTCAAAAATTATAACATACTGTCTTCCTTCTCTAACAAGTGTGCAGCAACCTCAAAACAATTGCAGGTGAGTAACATTTTTCTTGTTCTAAGGGTGCATATTTTATGGTGTGACTCTGTAGGAGGCAATAGTCTACAAATGTGTGTTTGTCCAGGGCTAATCTCATCAGTGCCAAATTGTTCATTGCCAACAGGCCAAGAACCTCCGCTTTCACATGTGTATTATATCATAATGGAAATCAAATCAATGGACAAAAACCTTGGACAAATTAGTCATATGTCATAGAAAGCTAACTACAAAATAATTTCATCCCCCTTTAATTCATCTTGCTTCAATTGTAAAAAGCCTCAACATACTGTGGCAGCTGCAGAGCCTCAGAAGAAGCAGCCTGGTGATGACGATGATGATGGTGGTGGTGATGGTGGAAATAACAACAAAGTAAGTAACAAGTCAAAAATGTATCTATAAGCTCTCAAGGCGGGAGGCGGGAAAACATATAGATTGGATATTTTTGCTATTTGACATAAAACAACGTATACAGTATAGGGTTATTTGTGTCCATATTGCCCAGTTATTACCACTGCAAAAGTTAACCGTATACATTTTGTCATGTCACTGTTTAATTTACAGATCCATGGAGAGAGAACCGAAGCTCCAGAGAAAACCGAAGCCCCAGAGACAGTAAGTAGATGCATATTCTTAAGGTATAGGTTACATGAAAATGTTATCTGGACAGTGGTTATGTTTTTGATGGGTAACTGCAAAACTGATGCATTACCGTGCGTGCCCATGTTAGATCAAGTTTAGGACAGTGATTTGTTACTTTAGTGCCTTTATCATTCTTGTGCAGTAGACAACTATTTACTACTGATCTATACAAACTATGTTAGTTTGTATAATGTTAATTAATAATCAATTGTGATATTCCATAAAATATATTTGTGAAAGTTGTAGGCCTACTAATACATTTATATGTGATGTATTTTTCAGATTGAAATTGTGAAGGGGTCAGGAGTCTTTTGCAAAAGAGATGCGTGGAAGGCATCCATCCATACCACCTCTGGCACAGCAATGGTGCGAACTCTCCTCCTCGGCACATTTCCCCTTGAAACCCTGCTTCAGAGCAACCTCAACGGTAAAAAAAAAAGCTACTGTTCAAAATCTCTTTAAATCAATCCTGTCATTAATAAAGAAAGGCAGTTTACACATGTGTTTTTCTTTCTAAACTGATTCACCTAAGAATGGAAAAACTGAACTATTTTCTTACTCTCTGTTTTCGCTGCTGCAATTTGTTGAGAGTAATGTTTTTTTTACAATTGTCCCACACTCTAGCCCAGTGGTTCTCAAACTTTATCATTTCAAGGACCCCCATAACTCAGAGTGTATGATTGGAAACCAAATGTGTATGGGTCTATTTGGAACACCCCCAAGGAACCTTGAGTGTCATTTGTCCCTGGACAACCACTCTAGCCTAAAGTGTGGGCCATTAGTATGTAAACATTAGCTGCTGCAGATCAGCAGGATTACCCACTTTTCATTTGCAAAATAATAATTATGAAATATTACTTTAGGTGGCAAGCCAAAGCGAGGTGATGGGGAGCAGCTGGAAGCCCTGGACCCAGGAAAAAAGGCGGCCATAATCGGTGAGTAAAAACGAATGAATTTAGAAAGGAAAATAAAAGTTAATAGAGATGCCTCAAGTTGACTACTTTAACCATCCCTGTTTCACTATTTATTAGCTATCAATGGTAGGATCAGGATCAGCATCAGGTAAGTGAGGACACCCATTAATGGTATCTGCACGGATTAGCACCTACTGTAGGGTGATCACTAACTTTTCAATTGCTCACTTCTTGATCACAGCTCTCTTCTAATAGAACCCATTTTCTGGGCTAGTGTGCTTCCACTGTGGTGGCCTTCTGTGTTATAGAATATGTATTCGTTAATAACCCCATGACACTAATTGTTCTCCTCTGCAGTGTTAAATAACCAGCATCTTCACCCTTAATCAATGACCATGCCCTTTGTACTGTGTTTGTGCCATATCATGTCTTTAATTAATTTTCTTGATTGCAATGCATATCTTATTGCTCTTCTGGTAAACAACCTGTGACTCTGTTGTTTGTATACAAGTGAAGTTCATGTGATGTCATTTTTTTTAAAAACAGTATTTTGAAAAGCCAAACTTTACCTAATTCTAACTAATAATTGTAAACTTAGCAGCTGTAAATGCACTGACTTTTCAGATAATTCAAAAATAATAGTAATGATATATGAAACAAATCACTAATAAAATAGATCATCTGTTTGAATAAAGGATTTGGGCTTTATCTGCCAATAAACTCACAGGGGAGCTCGTGTACACTACACCAGGTGGTTTGGCAAAACTTTGGAGTGGAATGCTTGGAGTCTGTAGAAGACTTGGAGCATTTTTACACTGTCATCTCATTATGTCCATTTCTTTTCTCTGTAGAGGCAACAATGAAGAAGTGGCCACACACAACGAAGGGCCAGCTGGGTACAGCCATCAACAACAAGCTGACAGAGCTTAGGGCTCGCCAAAAGCAGACAAAATAATTGACATTTATTGACAATAAATGTATGTTAATGACTTATACATTTTGTGTGTTGTATTTTTTTATGTAGGTAGGATATGTATAAACCTTGAAGGTGTAAATAAACATATATGCACATATAGGCTAAACTTATATGCGCATATATGTGAAACTTATATGCACATACATGTTTTACATATATGTGCATATATGTGAAACCTATATGTGCATATATGTGCAACCTATATGTGCATATATGTGAAACCTATATGTGCATATATGTGAAACCTATATGTGCATATATGTGCATATACAATGCACCCATATATGTACATATATGTGTGTGCATATATGTGCATATATGGATATGTACATATATGTTCAGAGACATATATGTAGGGGTCCAATTTCAGATATGTCACATATATGTTAAACATATATGTGACATATATTAAAAATATATAGGTTCATATATATTCCTTCCATGTGGGTAAACTCAGACATAATACTAATTGTTGTTGAAACCTTTTGCGCTGTTGCTGCAAAATGGAAACTTTGTTGGTTATCTGTTCCAACTGGCCACTGGAATCAGATAATTAATATAAGTTGAAGTTCAATTACAGATTTAAAAATAGTTTAACATTCTTTATTAAACTGCTTCAAATTATTTCTCGTATCAACCAATTGGTCTCCATAGACATTACTAAAATTCTAATAGTTGTTAAACTATTGACAGGTTTTCTGAAACTGAGCTTATGAACAAAAGAGTAAAGGTTGCTGGTTAAGCCAGGATCAATATATGTGTTGAAGTTTTTATTGTGTGCATAATAAATGTGTTAAATTAATTGAGCAATTCTTTAAAAAGTATAATGTTGCAATCTCTTTGAAATAAGTAATTAGTTAAAAAAATAGATGTTGTTTTCCAAGGGCCTCTCCTTCACAGGCCTACACTTTAAATCATGAGACTTTCAAATCATAACAGACAGAGATCAGTATCACTTTGTGTTGCAGGCCAAATCCATAGGGGTTCTACTCGAGCCCAATTGAAATACCATAAAGAAAGTATTGAACCCAGCTCAAGCTAAATGTCAAATGTATTTAATACAAGTGTTTTGATTTATTTAAAATGTTCCAGTCTAGCTTCCTTCGAGTTCAGTCTAAGCAACACATTGTTCCTCATAACAATCTCACTGCTGTCCCAAATGTTTTAACCTTGGGCAGACAAGCTGTTCACACACACACACACACACACACACACACACACACACACACACACACACACACACACACACACACACACACACACACACACACACACACACACACACACACACACACACACACACACACACACACACACACACACACACACACACACACACACACACACTCACTCTTTGGATGAGTATTCCCCTTATCCACATTGTACATTGTTGCCTTCTTTAGAGTTATTAGTAATTTAAGATTAATTATTAAATTAAATGTGGTACATAAGATACAATAAATAAAATAACTTTGACTTGATAATTTTGTTCACAACATTAGACCTGTCCTCTAATCTCTACTAGAATAAGATACGTGTGCATGTGTGGGTGTTTTAACACTCCCGTAATGTACCTAATCTTGTTATCCTTTTCATTACAGAGCTGGGAAAATGGTGTATTGCTTAGATTCTGATCCGTGCATGTCCAATTTTGACTGACTTTAGTTCTAATGTTAACTTGAGTTTGACTTCAACCCATAAATAATTATTTAAATTAACTCTAAATTTCACATTATGATGGATTAGTGTTCCACATTTTTCCCACTAATTTGTTTTATTATTAGGCCAAAGGTAAAGAGAGACATTGATGACCTTGTGTCCCTTTTGTTGGTACGTGGTTCCATTTTGTCTATGGCCTTGGACGGCTTCACTAAGAGTCACCCAGTTCTACCCTGCTAAAGTCCGGCTGAGTGCAGTCACAGAGATGCTATGGCTGCTCTACATGACATTAATGGTCTGATCCGAGAATGGACACCATTTCCTGCTCCCAGAGAGAATGACTGAAAACTGAATATTACAGCCGTTGATACTGTCTCACGTGGGTCTGCTCCCCCCACCGAGCCATGAACTGAAAGCTTGACCTCTGCTTTGAACACTTGGAAGCCTCCCTGTCACACCAGCACCAACCCTTGGGTCAGTCAGATGAGACTAACGGCTTCACTTAGGGCATTTGGGTCAGATACATGACTCTCGTTACCGCAGTGTTTTTTTTTTTTTAAGGCTATTCATACTGCTATGCAGACAGCCTGTCCTCCTACAAAAAACGACCATATAGGTTGATTGTTCAGCAGCTAAATACGACCCAGAGTCACGTTTTAAAGTGTAGCACCTCTAGTGGTCGTGTAAGAAACAACATGCTCCCGTCGATTGCAAACGCTCCGGAGGGTCGTTTATTCACAAATAACCCTCTCTGGAAAATCCTAAATTGTGGAATAGTTTGGCCATTAAAATGCTTTTTTATTAGATTTCTAGCGAGAAGTGTATATTGTACTTTTATAATCTACGTCCAGTAGATGTGTAGGATCTACAGTTTTTTTCTTAAAGGCCCCTTTAAGTTATTATTATTATTTTTCTCTGCTTCTGAGAAGCTAATGTATACGTTATACAGTTATTTCTGCAAGAAAATTACAATAAAATGACTGTTTAATCTTCACATCTTGCATTCATGTCTATAATTTTTAGCACCAAATTATTGAAAAGTATCGATAAGAGTATGGAAAAATACGATACCCATCCCTAGTGAAAAGTTATTTAAACCCTACCAGATATTCATATCATTTTATATAAAGATATTATAGGTATATTATACAAAATAAAGATAAACTGGGTTAACTAGCGCCTACCTTTTGACCTAATATGAGGTATTTAAAATGAGTAGCATGACATGTTTAATAGTGATAGTTTGTTTTTCAGAAATATGTTGCTGTGGGGCAACTGGGCAAAGCAACAGACACTCTTGATGCCACTGGCAGTGTGGTGATGGAGAAAGACTTTGGTAAATATTGATTTGATATATGTATAATAATTTCAAAGGAGCAGTTATCCCAATTCAGCAGTCTATTTGTGTTGTTATCCCCCCCTTTTTGCACTTTTCATATAAACAGTGAAATATGTTTATAAAATGTTTGTCCACAGAACACGTAACCTGGTTGGAAGTTGAGGAGAAATTGAAAACGTTCACTGGTGACATCATGCAAGTTCCTCCATTGTGAGTGAAGCCTCCTATCTGAGAAGATGTAGTCATAGCAGTTACATTTGTAAATGTTAGCGTAAACTGGGTTCAACCTGCTGATCTAATGAGACGAAAGAAATGCCATTCACTGTTCATATTCATGCTCCTAAAGTCATGTAGCCACCATAGACCCTTCATGTTCCTGCTCCTAAAGTCATGTAGCCACCATAGACCCTTCATGTTCCTGCTCCTAAAGTCATGTAGCCACCATAGACCCTTCATATTCATGCTCCTAAAGTCATGTAGCCACCATAGACCCTTCATGTTCCTGCTCCTAAAGTCATGTAGCCACCATAGACCCTTCATATTCATGCTCCTAAAGTCATGTAGCCACCATAGACCCTTCATGTTCATGCTCCTAACATCATGTAGCCACCATAGACCCTTCATGTTCCTGCTCCTAACATCATGTAGCCACCATAGACCCTTCATGTTCCTTCTCCTAAAGTCATGTATAGCCACCATAGACCCTTCATGTTCATGCTCCTAACATCATGTAGCCACCATAGACCCTTCATGTTCATGCTCCTAACATCATGTAGCCACCATAGACCCTTCATGTTCCTGCTCCTAAAGTCATGTAGCCACCATAGACCCTTCATGTTCATGCTCCTAAAGTCATGTAGCCACCATAGACCCTCCCTTCATGTTCATGCTCCTAAAGTCATGTAGCCACCATAGACCCTTCATATTCATGCTCCTAAAGTCATGTAGCCACCATAGACCCTTCATGTTCCTGCTCCTAAAGTCATGTAGCCACCATAGACCCTTCATATTCATGCTCCTAAAGTCATGTAGCCACCATAGACCCTTCATGTTCATGCTCCTAACATCATGTAGCCACCATAGACCCTTCATGTTCATGCTCCTAAAGTCATGTAGCCACCATAGACCCTTCATGTTCATGCTCCTAAAGTCATGTAGCCACCATAGACCCTTCATGAGTTTTCTTATCACTGGAGAAAACTGAACGTGAAGCAGATGTAATAAATGTTGCATTGCTGCAGAGCCTTATATGTAATACGTCATGATATACTTTATTGTCCCCATAAGAAAAAAGTGGGACTGGACTCTAGAGTCTGGACTACTGTCTTATAGATAAGACATAAACATATTTACACATTAATGTTGTACTAAAACAAAGACACACCTATTGACTATGTGCCTATACTATATTGACCTAGTGCACAACTCTCTCGGCCAACATTTACTTTACTTACACAAGTATATTTCAAACATTTTTTTAATTTAAATGTACATACGGCATGCAAATAAATGGCCCTATTATTTTTTGATGTAAACAGGACTTCATTTCCTGTGTAAAATGCTGCTAAAGATATTCAAGATTCCACAGAAATATAATTTCAGATTTTGATAGGAGCAATGAGTGTTTTGAACTCTGCGTAGTCTCTAAGAAGAGATCAAACCATCAGAAGAAAAGATGTGAACCTCGCAGCCTCTAGAGGTCACACTTTAGATTTGTATTGTGAAACTGAATACCTCCTGCCACCAGCAGGATCCCTTCATGTAGCTACATATAACTCTGTAAATAGTCATAAGCTTTATTTGTCCAGCACTTTTTGCAACAGAAAATAACACATTCAATTTAAGATGGAGGATAAAACACATTATCACACATGCAGCACGTTTACATAATACAAACATAATTCCCCAAAAGTATGGGAAGCAGAAGATTAAAAACAATAGATAACTCACTCAGTAAAACCAAGACAGAAAGAAGACACAATTGCTTGCTTATCTTTCTTACAGTGCAGACGCTTTTCTGCTTGCTCTTGCCTCTGCTTACTTTTTATGCTGATTTTCCTATTCTTATTCTCTGAAAACTTCGAGCAGCGGCTCCTGGACATTAACTTATCACTGGGACAGTTCATCTTCGTAAATAGACGGAGGGTTTCAGCCATATTTCAACATTTTTACGACGACGTCAGTCTTACAATAGCGTGGCCTAGCAACAGCTAAAGCCTGGTAGGCTACTGCTATTTAGCTAGTTGGTAGCAAAATGCCTCCGTTCTCTACAGATGACTTCCAGAAACTTATACAGAAGATGGCTGTGTTGGAAATGAAAATTCAACGGTTGGAAGTTAACGTGGAAGTGAATGGACTATGTCGTGGGAATGACACGACTTTACCAGTGTTGCAAAATAATGTAGAAGGGTATGCTAACTCACAGCTAGTTAGCAGCTACAAGGATTCCAAGGAACAGGAGGGCTGTGTACCGGGTAATAAATCTACAAGTGGTAGTCCTCCCTGGAGCTCTCTGGGTGCAAAGCCTAAGAGTAAATCATTTCCATGGGATTTGGGAGGACGGATAACAGGCAGAGCCCAGAGCTCCGAAATCTGTGATGCGACCGGCTGGCCTGCATTGTTATCACCCAGGAAGAGCGCCTCTTCAACCCCTATTCATACTAGGAAACAGCAGTGGACAGCTGCTAAAGGGAGAATTACAAACAATCCTCCTAAACCACCAAGTGTGCCAATCCAGAACAGATACGCTCCGCTGACCGAGAACCGGAGATCTGATGACCTGGATAACCTGTCCTCTTCACACAGCAGGGTAAGGACCAATAGCTACTCTAAAAGTAAAAGGCTAGAGGGAAAGCTAACGACTGGGCCTGAAACTCTGATTGTGGGGTGACTCTGCTGTAAGAGATGTAAAAGGTCTGTGTAATAAGAACAACACCAAAGTACTCTGTTTTCCCAAGGATATGGTCTCTGACTTGGCTGAGAAGATCCTGCATATTGGGGCTGAACATCCGACTGTGAAGAATGTGGTACTGCACATTGGAACAAATGATGTTGTGAAACAACAGTCAGAAGTGCTGAAAGAAGACTTTAAATGTTTGTTGGAAACTGCCAGCTCTCTAAATGCAGAGGTGTTCATCAGTGGCCCTCTACCGCCAGTCAGAAGAGGAGTGGAGAGATTCAGCAGATTGTTTGCACTGAACACCTGGCTTTCAACGGCCTGTACTGACCATTCTGTTCATTTTATTGACAATTTTAACTTTTTCTGGGATCGCAGACATCTTTTCAAGGCAAATGGAGTTTGCCTGAACAAGTCAGGAGTGAAATTGTTTATCTCTAACATATTCAACTGCCTGCGTCATCAATCTGTTCCCTCTGCCAAGGACAAGCGGCAAGAGGAATCAAAACAGGAGAAAGACACAACACATCACACAGAAAACCCTGAAGAATTATCACTGCACCCGCCTGAGGAATGTTCTGATTATGGGAGACCTATGAGACAAATGGAGGAGTCTCCACTGCCCGTCACCCCCCCCCTGTCAACGCCTTTGAGGATACTCCGTTCACCCTTTCACCCTCGCCCACCCTCCTGGAGATCGATGAACACACAAAGGAGATACAGAGGGTTGGCACCGATTCCTTCCTGGAGTTCAAAGACCAAACGAAGGCGATACGCAGGGCTGGCACCATGTCCTTTACCCCCGCTCCTCAACGAAGCCCACCAAAATCACCGCGGAGACGCGCACCATCTCCCCCGTCCTCATCACCGCGCCTACGTCAACCACCTCCCCCCCCTGGCAGCATGTCCTCTACCCCCGCACCATCTCGCCCGTCTCCATCACCGTGCCTACGTCGACCACCTCCCCTCCCTTCGAGGGGGCATCTGCAGTCTCCGAAGCCTGATAAGGATGTGTGTGTACAAAACACAACAAACTCTTACTGATATGTGATGGGTCCAGGCTCAAGGGCGTATGGCACTCTCAACTCTTTCCAGGACATGTCGGGGCCCTGCCTGCCAGTAGCTTTGCCGATATCTGTGTTGATAGGTAATAGATTAAGAGCGGTGAATCATAGAAACAGGAAGCGCTCAAACGTTTGTGTGAGTGTATCTAATTTAGCAGTGATTCCATGTCAGCCACAGCTTGTTACAAAAAACATGACTGATAGTGTGTTTAAAAAACTTAAACTAGCTTTATTAAATGTCAGGTCTTTGGCAGGAAAAACATTTTTAATCAATGATTTTATCACTGAGCACAATCTCGATTTTATGTTTTTAACAGAAACTTGGATTGAACAAAATAACAGTGCAGCTGTTCTTATCGAATCAACCCCTCCCAACTTTAGTTTTATGAGTCAGGAAAGAATGCATAAGAAAGGGGGTGGAGTTGCTATTCTGTTCAATGATTCCCTTCAATGCAGGAAGACATCGTATGGAAACTTTGATTCTTTTGAATATGTGGCCCTTCAGCTGAAATGCTCCTCTCGAGCTCTGTTCCTAAATATCTATAGACCACCCAAATACTGTGCAAGCTTTTTTGATGACTTTACTGAACTGCTGTCTATAGTGTGTATTGACTTTGACCGTCTAGTCATTGTTGGTGATTTTAACATCCATGTTGACAACCCCCAGGACAGAGGGGCTAAAGAACTATTTTGTGTTCTTGATAGCTATGGACTGACTCAGCATGTGACGGAGCCCACGCACAATAAGGGGCACACTCTGGACTTAATTATCTCAAAGGGTCTGAATATCTCTGAGGTTGTGGTGACTGATGTTGCACTCTCTGACCATTCCTGTGTTTTCTTTGAGAGCTCTATTTCTGTTCACAAACATGTTCAAAAAGAGGTAACCACAAAGCGATATTTAACTGAAAATACTAGGGAAATGTTTACTCAGAATTTCTCTTCCACACTTGCCCCTGCCAACATCTCAGTAAATGAGCTAGTAGATCATTTTAATTCAAAAATTAAAAATGTTATAGATGCCATTGCTCCAACTAGGTTAAAGGAAGTGTCTGGCAAGAAAATATCTCCATGGAGAAAGGCCATGACCGTGAAAACAGAAAAAAGAGAATGTCGAAAAGCTGAACGCAGGTGGCGAAAAACAAATCTCCAGGTTCACTTTGAAATCTATAAAGAGAGACTTGGCCTTTATAATTTGGAATTGAAAAACGCACGACAATCGTTCTTCTCTGACATCATTACCAAAAACAAAAACAACGCACGTGCCTTGTTTGCTACCGTCGACAGACTAACTAACCCCCCAGTGTCAGTAGCCTCTGAATTTCTATCCACCAGGGCGTGCAATGATTTTGCCTCCTTCTTCACTGACAAAATTCAGAAAATCAGACAAGCAGTCAGTGCCTCTGCATCAGGAACAGCAAATGTATTGTCCCTATCTCCACTTAACATCAATTCAGACATCATGACACAATTCCATCAGATTAATGATAAAAACCTAGAGGACATTATACAACTTTTGAAATCCTCCTCCTGCTGCCTTGATATTATTCCAACAGGATTTTTCAAAGATGTTTTGCCTTGCATGGCCTCAGATCTACTTCATATAGTAAACAAATCTCTTCACTCAGGTATTTTTCCACAGGCCCTGAAAACTGCAGTCATTAAACCGCTCTTAAAAAAGAATAATCTAGATGCTTCAGTAATGAACAATTACAGGCCCATATCAAACCTGCCATTTCTAGGTAAAATCATTGAAAAAGTTGTTTTTCAACAGTTGAGTAATTTCTTGCATTTAAATAACTGTTTTGGTGTGTTCCAGTCAGGCTTTCGTCCAAACCACAGCACTGAGACTGCTCTTGTAAAGGTCTTTAATGACATCCACTTAAACACAGACAGTGGCAGAACTTCAGTGTTAGTATTATTAGATCTCAGTGCTGTGTTTGACACTGTTGACCACAGCATATTACTAGACCGACTGGAAAACTGGGTGGGACTTTCGGAAACAGTTCTGAATTGGTTTGAATCCTACTTAAAGGACAGAAACAACTTTGTTTCTATAGGTAAATACACATCTGAGTTGACAAATATGACATGTGGGGTTCCTCAAGGCTCCATCTTGGGGCCTCTTCTCTTTAACATCTACATGCTACCACTGGCTCAGATAATGAAGAACAACAAAATAAGTTACCATAGCTATGCAGATGACACACAAATTTACATAACAATTTCACCAGGAGACTATGCTCCAATTCAAACACTGAGTAAGTGCATTGAACAAATCAATGACTGGATGTGTCAGAACTTTCTCCAATTAAACAAAGATAAAACTGAGGTAATGGTTTTTGGAGCCAAGTCAGAACGTATAAAAGTTAGCACTGAGCTTCAGTGTGCAATGTTCAAAACAACAGATAAAGCCAGAAATCTAGGTGTAGTCATGGACTCTGACCTGAGTTTCAACAGTCACATTAAAACTGTTACTAAATCAGCCTACTATCACCTAAAGAGCATATCTAGGATTAAAAGACTAATGTCACAGCAGGATTTGGAAAAACTTGTCCATGCTTTTATCTTCAGTAGACTCGACAACTGCAATGGTGTCTTCACAGGTCTCACTAAAAAATCTATTAGGAAGCTGCAGCTAATTCAGAACGCCGCTGCTCGAGTCCTCACTAACACTAAGAAAGTGGATCACATCACTCCTGTTCTGAAGTCTTTACACTGGCTTCCTGTGTGTCAAAGAATAGATTTCAAAATACTGCTGCTGGTTTATAAAGCACTGAATGGTTTAGGCCCAAAATACATTTCTGACCTCCTGCTAAATTATGAACCATCCAGATCTCTCAGGTCTTCAGGGACTGGTCAGCTTTCTGTCCCTAGAGTCAGAACTAAACATGGTAAAGCAGCGTTCAGTTATTATGCTCCAAATATCTGGAACAAACTCCCAGAAACCTGCAGGTCCGCTACAACTCTGACTACTTTTAAATCCAGGCTGAAGACTTTTCTTTTTGTCGCTGCTTTTAATTGAACTATTCATATCTTAGACTGCACTGTAACTTTTATCCATGTACTTTTTTTCTTTTAATGTTTAATTGACTGATTTTAAATGCCATTTTCTTAATCTCTTTCATTTTTTGTAAAGCACTTTGAATTGCCTTGTGTTGAAAAGTGCTATATAAATAAACTTGCCTTGCCTTGCCTTGCCTTGCCTTGCCTTGCCTTAAGAAATACTATGCATTTAGAAATATAAATGCAAAACAAAGGCCTATATAAATAAATACAGATCGTTTAATTGATCAAAGTACATTTCCAGCTGTTTCACCCTCGTATAGTTTCAGGTTAGGTGTTTTTTGGGGGGGAATTTGGGGAATATTTGAAAAGCCTGCTGCAGAGGACCTTAGTGTTTGATCAGGGATATAACCGATAGAGGACATAAAAGAATGCTAGACCATTCAGAGCTTCGTATACTAGTTGAAGGATTTTAAAATGTGTATTTGATATGTTCTAATTGCAGCTCATCCCTTCAGCATGATGCGATTTATACATTTCTGTCAACCCCAGCTACTCTGCACTGAAGAAGGACGGCCAGCGCCTGTCTGTCCTGCTGAAGAAGGGCCACAAGGTGGAGGCCAAACCAGCGCGGGCTGTCACCGTGTACAACCTGACCCTGCAGGAGTTCACCGCCCCGCTCTTCACCCTGGGTCAGCACACGCTCTCTTCATCTCCGCAATACTGACTTATGACTTTCTGTTATCTAATGTCATTTCCTTCTTTTTCCCTTTTTGTATTTCCCACATGTTGTTTCTCTGACAGATATTGAGTGCGGTGGTGGATTTTATGTCAGAAGTTTGGTGGATGACCTGGGAAAAGGTGAGATTGTATTTCGAGAGATTGAATCATTTACTCCTCAAGGCAAGTTTATTTATATAGCACCTTTCAACACAAGGCAATTCAAAGTGCTTTACAAAAAGGAAAGACATTAAGAAAATGGCATTTAAAAACAGTAAAAGATAATAAAATAAACATTAAAAAAAATACATGAATACAATTTACAGTGCAGTATAAGATAGGAATAGTTCAATTAAAAGCAGCGGCAAATAGAGAAGTCTTCAGCCTGGATTTAAAAGTAGTAAAAGTTGCAGCGGACCTGCAGGTTTCTGGGAGTTTGTTCCAGATATTTGGAGCATAATAAGTGAACTTCTCCATGTTTAGTTCTGACTCTGGGGACAGAAAACAGACCAGAAGACCTGAGAGATCTGGATGGTTCATCATTTAGCAGATCAGAAATGTATTTTGGGCCTAAACCATTCAAAGCTTTATAAACCAGCAGCAGTATTTTGAAATCAATTCTTTGACACACAGGAAGCCAGTGTAAAGACTTCAGAACTGGAGTGATGTAGTTGACTAATCAATCAGAAACCAGCCCTGCTAACACCTGTGTGTGTGCCTGTGTGCTGCAGCTCTGTCGTCATGTGCTCATGTGAAGGAGCTAACCCGGACCAAGCAGGGCCAGTTCACCCTGGAGGAGCACGCCCTGCAGGAGGAGCAGTGGAGCCTGGAGCACATCCTGAGGGCCCTGCAGCCCTGCCCCGAGGCCCTCAGCTGAGCAGGAGGAGTGGCCACATGGAGCATCTTCTGTCAAAAAGGAGCATGGCCGGACAATAAGGAGAGCCTACTCCTGGCGTTCCATACCAAAAAAAAATCACAGCATTTATTTTAAATTGTTAATTTCACAACTGTATCTGGACAACTCATCACCGCTGTTGTGTAACGGACTAGCATCGACCCTTTGGATTTTATAACGGGTTTGTGCTACAATATATTTGTTTCAATAGTTTTTTACCATGTACTTCCACGAGAAGATTCTTGCTCTCATATTTGGAATGAAGGAGCTTCAGCTCTCAGTCTGACAGCAAGGCGACAGAAGCACAACACTCACTGGCAGCAATATCCAGGATCTTCTCAGACCATCTGCTCAAATAAATGGGCCTTTTGGTCGATATCTGTGTTGATGCCGATATCTGTGTTGATAGGTAATAGATTAAGAGCGGTGAATCAGCTTAGAAACAGGAAGTGCTCAAACGTTCGTGTGAGTTTATCAAATTTAGCAGTGATTCCATTTCAGCCACAGCTTGTCACAAAACATCTTACTGATAGTGTATCTAACAAACTTAAACTAGCTTTATTAAATGTCAGGTCTCTGGCAGGAAAAACATTTTTAATCAATGATTTTATCACTGAGCACAATCTCGATTTTATGTTTTTAACGGAAACTTGGATTGAACAAAATAACAGTGCAGCTGTTCTTATCGAATCAACCCCTCCCAACTTTAGTTTTGAGTCAGGAAAGAATGCATAAGAAAGGGGGTGGAGTTGCTATTTTGTTCAATGATTCCATTCAATGCAGGAAGACATCTTATGAGAACTTTGCTTCTTTTGAATATGTGGCCCTTCAGCTGAAATGCTCCTCTCGAGCTCTGTTCCTAAATATCTATAGACCACCCAAATACTGTGCAAGCTTTTTTGATGACTTTACTGAACTGCTGTCTATAGTGTGTATTGACTTTGATCGTCTAGTCATTGTTGGTGATTTTAACATCCATGTTGACAACCCCCAGGACAGAGGGGCTAAAGAACTGTTTTGTGTTCTTGATAGCTATGGACTGACTCAGCATGTGACGGAGCCCACGCACAATAAGGGGCACACTCTGGACTTAATTATCTCAAAGGGTCTGAATATCTCTAAGGTTGTGGTGACTGATGTTGCACTCTCTGATCATTCCTGTGTTTTCTTTGAGAGCTCTATTTCTGTAAACAAAAATGTTCAAAAAGAGATAACCACAAAGCGATATTTAACTGAAAATACTAGGGAAATGTTTACTCAGAATTTTTCTTCCACACTTGCCCCTGCTAACATCTCAGTAAATGAGCTAGTAGATCATTTTAATTCAAAAATTAAAAATGTTATAGATGCCATTTCTCCAACTAAGGTAAAGGAAGTGACTGGGAAGAAAATATCTCCATGGAGATAGGCCATGACCGTGAGAGCAGAAAAAAGAGAGTGTCGAAAAGCTGAACGTAGGTGGCGAAAAACAAATCTCCAGGTTCACTTTGAAATCTATAAAGAGAGACTTGGCCTTTATAATTTGGAATTGAAAAACGCACGACAGTCTTTCTTCTCTGACATCATTACCAAAAACAAAAACAACGCACGTGCCTTGTTTGCTACCGTCGACAGACTAACTAACCCCCCAGTGTCAGTAGCCTCTGAATTTCTATCCACCAGGGCATGCAATGATTTTGCCTTTTTCACTGACAAAATTCAGAAAATCAGACAAGCAGTCAGTGCCTCTGCATCAGGTACAGCAAATGTGTTGTCCCTATGTCCACCTAATATCAATTCAAACACCATGACACAATTCCATCAGATTAATGATAAAAACCTAGAGGACATTATTCAACTAATGAAATCCTCCTCCTGCTGCCTTGATATTATTCCAACAGGATTTTTCAAAGATGTTTTTCCTTGCATGGCCTCAGATCTACTTCATATAGTAAACAAATCTCTTCACTCAGGTATTTTTCCACAGGCCCTGAAAACTGCAGTCATTAAACCGCTCTTAAAAAAGAATAATCTAGATGCTTCAGTAATGAACAATTACAGGCCCATATCAAACATGCCATTTCTAGGTAAAATCATTGAAAAAGTTGTTTTTCAACAGTTGAGTAATTTCTTGCATTTAAATAGTTGTTTCGATGTTTTCCAGTCAGGCTTTCGTCCAAACCACAGCATTGAGACTGCTCTTGTAAAGTGTGCAACTCGATTTTGACAGGAACGCAACTGGAGACTTCTAGAATTGTGTGAGTAACATTCTGTTTTTAGACTTCTCTGTTTCAGTGTGTGTACTCTGTATCAATGCTCTGTAGTTGATCTGACTGAAATTGTGATTTTAAATCTCAAAACCGCTACAGTATCTGTCAGGCATAAACTTGGGACAAGTAATTTGACTGAAACCTTAAAACTGAACTAACTGACTGCTAGGGTTAACTTTGATTTAAACATTTGTAGAATACTAAGAGCTTTATTGAGTAGGTGTAACTGTATTAAGGGTTAAACTCATAACTTTATAACTTAGGGTTTAATGTAATTGTAAAACCATTGGGCCACTTAAAATACAATAACAAGTCAGGAGGGAGCCAGTCTAGATTTCCTTTTGAGGGCCACCAGCTGCAGAGAGTTAACTAATTAAAGGGACGTGGCCCCACAGCTGTGAGAACTCAGCAATCAGGTGTCCATTTTAGGTAGCACTTTCCTGGAGCGTCAGCGTCAGACAGGCTAAGACTGACAAAGACATTGGAGTCCTGCGGGAGTAAGACTGACAAAGACATTGGAGTCCTGCGGGAATCACGAGGGAGGCAAAGAGGAGGCAAATCCTACTTTGATTGAGCTAAAGTATCGCTGGTGTTTTCTTTTATTTGGTTGTTTAGCCCCTCATGCTATAATCATGTGTATTTTCTACATTCCTGTTTATGTGTCTTCTCGCAATTATCACTGGCCCCGTGTATCTCGTAATCGATATAACCGGCCTGCTCTCGTCTATCCCACATGCTCCACTGAGATCCAACATCTAGTTTCAGGCGGCCTGTGGAACTGCCAGTCAGCTGTTCCTAAGGCTGACTTCATCTCTGGCTACGCCTCCCTGCAGTCTCTGGATTTCCTTGCTCTCACTGAGACGTGGATTACTCCATCCAACACATCCACCCCAGCAGCTCTCTCCACAGCATATTCCTTCTCCCATACACCCAGACCCACTGGCAGAGGAGGTGGCACTGGTCTCCTGCTCTCTCCCAAATGGAGCTTTTCCCTCTTCAAGGTACCTAACTTCACTCCTTCCACCTTTGAATTCCATGCCGTCACAGTACCCCATCCTATACAATTAACCATTGTTGTTCTCTACCGTCCACCAGGCGCCTTGGGGGACTTCTTGGAGGAATTAGATAATCTCCTCTCACACATCCCTGAAACTGGTCCTCCCGCTGTACTTCTCGGAGACTTCAACCTCCAGACAGGGAAGATAGACGAACTAACATCTCTGTTAACCGCCTTTCCTTTCTCACTGTCTCCGTCCCCACCAACTCATAAAGCTGGCAATGTTCTTGATCTCATATTCTCAAGGAACTGTACTACTTCTATCCTCTCTGTAAACCCGCTCCACACATCCGATCACTTCTTCATTTCATTCTCTCTACCCCTTTCCAAACATAACAAACTAATCTCTTCTCATCCTGCACCTGTCCGCCGTAACCTTCGTTCCCTCTCCCCCTCTACCTTTGCCTCATCGGTGCTCTCAGCCCTCCCTTCCTCGGACTCGTTCCAACTACTACCTCCAAACTCTGCTGCAGAAACTCTCCTCTCTACTCTCTCATCCTCTCTGGACTCTCTCTGTCCTTTCACATCTCGGCAGGCTCGTCAGTCCCCTCCTGCTCCCTGGCTAAATGATGCACTGCGTGCTAATAGAACCGTCCTTCGGGCAGCAGAGCGGAAATGGTGGAAATCCAAACACCGTGACGACCTCCTAACCTATCAGGCTCTCCTCTCCTCTTTCTCTGCTTCGATCTCTCAGGCAAAAAGCACTTTCTTTCAAGATAAGATCCAATCTTCCTATTCCAATCCCAAAAAACTATTTTCCATCTTCTCCTCCCTCCTGGACCCCCCCAAAGCCCCTTCCCCCTCCTCCCTTCTGTCAAGCGACTTTGTTAACCACTTTGAAAAAAAGGTTGATGATATTCGCTCTTCTTTTTCTGACTCACCTCTACTCACCAGACCCTCCTTTCACCCACACACTGACCTCCTTTTCCCCTCTCTCTCCAAGTGAGGTTCTTACCCTCATTACCTCTGCCGCCCTACCACCTGTCCTCTGGACCCTATCCCTTCAAACCTCCTTCAGACTATCGCTCCTGATATTCTACCGTTTCTCACCCATTTCATCAACACTTCTCTAACTTCTGGTCACTTTCCAAACAGTCTCAAGGAGGCAAGAGTAAACCCTCTCCTAAAGAAACCCACTCTCAACCCGTCTGATGTTATAAACTACAGGCCTGTCTCTCTCCTCCCGTTCCTGTCTAAAACACTTGAACGCGCTGTCTTTAAACAACTCTCCTCCTTCTGGATCCGCACCAGTCTGGTTTCAAGTCAGGTCACTCCACAGAAACTGCCCTCCTTGCTGTCACTGAGGAACTGCACACTGCTAAAGCAGCCTCCCTCTCCTCTGTCATCATCCTTTTGGACCTGTCTGCTGCATTCGACACGGTGAATCATCAGATCCTCCTTCACACTCTCCAAGAACTTGGAGTTTCAGGCTCTGCACTTTCCCTCCTCACCTCATACCTCAAAGACCGCACCTACAGGGTTACTTGGAGAGGGTCCGAGTCCGACCCTTGTCAATTAACTACAGGGGTCCCTCAGGGCTCTGTTCTTGGTCCCCTCCTCTTCTCCTTGTACACAAACTCGCTCGGATCAGTCATTAGCCGGCATGGTTTTTCATACCACTGCTACGCTGACGACACCCAATTCATTCTGTCCTTCCCCCGCTCAGAGACCCAGGTCGTCGCACGCATCTCTGCTTGTCTAGCTGACATCTCTCAGTGGATGTCTGATCATCACCTCAAGCTCAACCTTGACAAGACTGAACTGCTTTTCCTTCCGGGAA